AAAAAAAAAAAAAAAAAAAAAGAGAGAAGAAGAAGAATTAAAGGGGAAGAAGGAAATGCATTATTTAAAAAAAAAAAAGTCATCCACAGGAGGATCAATTGTATTTTTGTTGTCCTTTTTTGTTAGTATATAACATTGACTACAGCCAGCCTGGAAGTTTCAGGAGTTGCAGGGTAGAAGCAGTTTTGCAACCTAGTTTAAAAGGGGGCGGGGGGGATGTGCAGAATCGGGTTGGAAACAGGGGAGAAAATAAGGTTAAAAAATAGGCATGCAAAGCATACATATGGTACAAGAAGCAGAAAAGGTGGCGGTGGAGGGAGGGGTGGGGCGGTGTTTAACTTTATGCTCCCTGGAAACAACAGCCTAAATGGCAGATGAGGTGCACAGAGAGGGACCTGGGTTTGCAATGGGCGCGGGGGCGGGGGTATCTGAGCCTCCAGTATTTCTCAGGGAGGGGGAAAAATTGCAAGGATGACGAATAGTTTCTTGGGAGAAGAGACCGCAACGTTTCCCACCCCTCCGGCGGGGCTGCTCGAGGGCAGGGGGGCTGGGGGGGGGTCCTCTAATGACGTCCCTGCCTAGGCAGGTCTCAGGGTTATTTATAACGTGCAAGAGGGTGACAAATTTGGAAGGAAAAAAATGCTAACGTCTCCCTTCTATCGCCTCCTAGAGCAGCTCCAATGGCTCGGGGGGAGCTCGCGTTGTACCACACATGCAGCGCTACGGATCTGCCTTGAGCAGCAAGGCGAGTTCCTCAGGTAGATGCAGCCCGGCCGGGGGGAGGGGGCGAGAAAAGCCCCCGCCGAGCAGCCCGGGGCTTCGGGCTCAGCCAGACCCGGTGCAGCTCCGCTCGCCGACCCGCCTTACCTTTGTGGGCAAAGCACCAGAGCTGCTGAAACGCAGGGTCTGCTCGAATTAACGCTTCAGGAGCGAGCAGGGAGCTGATTTGGGGATGTTTTGAGTGACATTTAAATCCCGAGCAGAAGAGAGAGAGGAGAAAAGGGGAAGGAAAAAAAAAAAAAAAAAGGAGAGAGAGGACTTAAATCATTCCTTGCAAATCTGCCCGCTGCTTGGAGCTCCCTTTACACCTCCTCCTCAGCTCAATACCCACTTGGCCCCGCGGATCTGTGCTGCTTCACTGAACGGATTCGGGGTGGGCACACGTCCTCGCCTCGCCCGGCTGGCACGGGGACGGGCATGGGGCAGGACCGCTTTGATTCCTCAATTCACAAAAGAAGTATTTCATTCGCTGCAGGGAAGGGGGCGGGGGGGGGGGCAAG